TCATATATACAAGGTGGTCTTTTTATTTTCTAATAGAGATATAGATACAGATATTCAAAAGCTGTTGGTGGTTAACTAATCTGAACCTACAAGTATACCATTACCTAAAACGAGGTGCCTCCTCTCCACACTCACAACTCGAAATTTTTAATTGCAACCAACTACTTGCGACATCATTAGAACGCCCCTTAAAAAAGTTTTCACTTGAACCATTAATGGGGCATTTGCATAACACCTTCCTATTTTATTTTACAAAAATGTGTCACTTCTCGAATGTGTGGGTTCAATTTTACGCCACATGAGTACAATATGCTAACTACAATGGCGCAATGTTATTTCAATGGAAAATAGCGAATGGTTGATTTTATTTTAGATATAATTTAAAACTGACACAACCAGCCACATTTGAGCGACTACACTCATAACATGCAAATTACTCTTTCGTGTAATCTAGTAAACGTAAAGCATCTATCACGGCAATAATGTTTATGCCAAAAAAAATTACCTCCGAATATTACACATCGTTACGAAAATCGGTCTGAATGTGACACAGGAAAATAAATATTCACTTATATATTGACCTATAGTACAAAAATACGTAATCTAGTAATGTGATTTTGTCCCCCTTCTAAATTGCAAACGGTTTAAGACAGAGTTGAAGTTTTGGGGTGTAAGCGGGAGGGGGGGGGGAGTAGTAGAGTATAAGTTTCTGGCATAAGATGAGCAGTTCCAATGTCGAAGATGGTAACTTTGAATTGTTTTCTTAGTAGATGTGTGATACCTACTTGTGTGTATTATGACTTATGAGAACTGTTTTTCTGTAACGTCGGGTACATAGGAAGTGAAAGAAATTGTAGTCCTAATTAGTTAGATATACGTAAATTAGTAAGTTACTAGCGATGAAATTGTTGAGTTTCCTATACTAAGTGTTTTTTGCCGTTTCTCCAAGATTTGAGGTTTGAGAAAACGACGGCGATGGATGCATCAAATTCTATGAGGTGGCATAATATGTCTTTGTCGATTTTCATTCAGACGTCCAACGACGAAAGTACTTCTTATTATCTGTATGTTGCGCAAGGCGAGTAAAGTAAACAAGTTAAAAAAAGTAATCGTAAACGATTTACAAAAAACGCAATGCCACTTGCATTCATTTCCCATTTGTAAGATGAAACTTTTGTTAAAATCCGCAAAAAATATGAGAGATAGCATTTTTGACGTGCTACTTCAATTTCAGTTTATAAGAAGAATTTCACTTCAATGCTTTCCTATAAATAAAAAAGTTGGCACTGCGCATGCGCAAACCTAAATTTTGAAACTAACATTAGATTTTCCTTTATTCCAAGCGCCTATGTATCAAATTGCGTTTAAATGCTTTCATAACTAAAAAAGTTGGCACTGCACATGCGTAAAACCAGATCTCAGCAACTCGTTCAAAAAGTCACTGAAAGGCCATGTTTACTGTCTTACTCATGGCACACGGGGAAAAAGTGACATCAGAAGTTTGAAGAACAGTGGTGTATTAACAGAGTGATATAATAATAATAATAATAATAATAATAATAATAATAATAATAATAATTCTCTCAAAACAACCCACCACACAAACACAACTTCCTGAACAAACAAACGCAATAAATACAAGTAACGCAACTTGCACTACAAAGACAGGTCCACCCAATAAAGTTACACGTCCTAGCACAGTTAAAAAACACAAAACTCCTTCTTCACATAAACACACCACGTTATCACAACCCACTCGTATACAACCGAAGCGCAAAAACCTTAACAGCACCACAGGCTCACAAAATACTGCAATATCTCCACCAAAAACCCAAACAACCTCACAAATACGACCTCAGGAACAAAGAAACACCATAAATACAATTAAAACACACAAAACTCCTTCTTCACATAAACACACCACGTTATCACAACCCACTCGTATTCAACCCAAACGCAAAGCCAAAGAAACACTTACACAATAAACTCTATTTAATACAATTACAGGAATTATTATAATGATATTTTTGTTTTGTTTTCTTCTTTCCTGATAGCGTTGACTATTGGGGCCATTAATAGCTATGTTGGTAAGTATGAATTACATACTATCTCTAGATTTCCAATGTGAGTGTGTGAATATTTATTTTATTTTTATTTTTATTTAGAACCCTACATAACTTCACCAGACACAGACACAGACACTAATCGTTACTTGATTTTAATCCGTGCGATTAGTTAACCAGGCTAGACCTGAGTTCTCACAAGAAACACCGACAATAATAATAATAATATAATCGTGTAATCATAGATCCGCAACAGCGAGAATAACTTAAATAATAATAATAATAATAATAATAATAATAATAATAATAATAATAATAATCTCAGAAACACACCACGTTATCACAACCCGAACGCAGCAACCTTAACAGCACTAGAGGCTCACAAAATACCGTAATGTCTCCACCAATAATCCAAGCAACAACACAAATACAACCTCTAGAACAAAGAAACACCATAAATACAAGTAACGCAATTTGCACTACAAAGACAGGTCCACCCAATAAAGTTACACGTCCTAGAACAGTTAAAAAACACAAAACTCCTTCTTCACAGAAACACACCACATTATCACAACCCACTCGTATTCAACCGAAACGCGAAAACCTTAACAGAACTACATGCTCACAACATACTGTAATACCTCCACCAAAAACCCAAGCAACCACACAAATACAACCTCAAGAACAAAGAAACACCATAAATACAAGTAACGCAACTTGCACTACAAAGACAGGTCCACCCAATAAAGTTACACGTCCTAGCACAGTTAAAAAACGCAATACTCCTTCTTCTCAGAAACAACCCACTCGTATACAACCGAAGCGCAAAAACCTTAACAGCGCCACAGGCTCACAAAATACTGCAATATCTCCACCAAAAACCCAAGCAACCACACAAATACAGCCTCAAGAACAAAGAAATACCATAAATACAAGTAACGCAACATGCACTACAAAGACAGGTCCACCCAATAAAGTTACACGTCCTAGCACAGTTAAAAAACACAAAACTCCTTCTTCACATAAACACACCACGTTATCACAACCCACTCGTATTCAACCGAAACGCGAAAACCTTAACAGAACTACACGCTCACAACATACTGTAATATCTGCACCAAAAACCCAAGCAACCACACAAATACAACCTCAAGAACAAAGAAACAACATAAATACAAGTAACGCAACATGCACTACAAAGACAGGTCCACCCAATAAAGTTACACGCCCTAGCACACTTAAAAAACACATAACTCCTTCTTCACAGAAACACACCACATTGTCACAACCCACTCGTATACAACCGAAGCGCAAAAACCTTAACAGCACCACAGGCTCACAAAATACTGCAATATCTCCACCAAAAACCCAAACAACCTCACAAATACGACCTCAGGAACAAAGAAACACCATAAATACAATTAAAAAACACAAAACTCCTTCTTCACATAAACACACCACGTTATCACAACCCACTCGTATTCAACCCCAACGCAAAGCCAAAGAAACACTTACACAATAAACTCTATTTAATAAAATTACAGGAATTATTATAATGATATTTTTGTTTTGTTTTCTTCTTTCCTGATAGCGTTGACTATTGTGGCCATTAATAGCTATGTTGGTAAGTATGAATTACATACTATCCGTAGATTTCCAATAACCCTACATAACTTCACCAGACACAGACACAGACACTAATCGTTACTTGATTTTAATCCGTGCGATTAGTTAACCAGGCTAGACCTGAGTTCTCACAAGAAACACCGACCATAATAATAATAAAAAGGAACAAAGAAACACCATAAATACAATTAAAAAACACAAAACTCCTTCTTCACAGAAACACACCACGTTATCACAACCCACTCGTATTCAACCCAAACGCAAAGCCAAAGAAACACTTACACAATAAACTCCATTTAATAAAATTACAGGAATTATTATAATGATTTTTTTTTTGTTTTGTTTTCCTCTTTCCTGATAGCGTTGGCTATTGTGCCCATCAATAGGTATGTTGGTAAGTACGAATTACATTATCCCTAGATGTCCAATGTACGTGTGTGATTTTTATTTTTTTTTATTTTTTTTTTTTTAAGGACCCTACATAACTTCACCAGACACAGACACAGACACTAATCGTTACTTGATTTTAATCCGTGCGATTAGTTAACCAGGCTAGACCTGAGTTCTCACAAGATACACCGACCATAATAATAATAATAATAATAATAAATCTATAAAATCATCACATCTATCATCACCAACAAAATAGAAAAACATCTCACAAAACACAGTATACTAACGGCAGAACAAAAAGGCGGAAGAAAACATAGTAGAGGTTGCAAGGAACCAATAATTATAGACAGCATTATTATGCAACAGACACAAAAACAGCATCGAAACCTTGTAGCTTGCTACATAGATTATAAAAAAGCCTTCGACTCTATACCACACAGCTGGCTTCTTAAAGTATTGAACATCTATAAAATCGACCGACACATACAAAACTTTCTACATACCATCATGCAAACCTGGAAGACAAAAATACTTGTAGCTAACTCTTCAACAAAGATAGAAACAGAATCCATCGAAATAAATACAGGTATATTCCAGGGTGACTCCCTAAGTTCATTGTGGTTTTGTTTGTGCCTTAACCCACTATCAAACCTTCTCAACGATACCACATATGGCTTTAAAATCAAAGATCAACAAGCAGGATAATACACAATCAACCACCTTATGTACATGGACGACATTAAGGTTTACGCAAATAATAAAACGCATATGCAGGCATTACTCAGAATTATTGAAGAATTTACTAAAGATACTGGCATGGAATTCGGAATTAATAAATGCAAATTACTGTACATAAGAAAAGGAACATATGAGACCAATCAAACACCAGAAACACTTAACAATGAAACACTACAAAATATGGCACCAGAAGAAACATATAAATATCTGGGTTTTGAGCAAAACACGAACATCAATCATTCACGACTCAAACAGCAACTAAAGGACAAGTACAAACATAGATTGACTCTCTTACTTAAGTCGAAATTAAATTCCAAAAATCTTTTTAAAGCAATCAACACCTATGCAGCACCGGTAATCGGATATTCGTTCGGAATTATACGATGGTCACACACAGATATTGACGAACTAAACAGACTGAACCGAACACAGCTCACACGTTACCGTAAGTTACACCCGAACTCGTGCATCGAACGTATTACGATTAGTAGACCTGAAGGAGGAAGAGGCCTCGTTGACTTCCACACATTGTATAACTCTGAAATAGACAACCTCAGACAATATTTTCATAGCAAAGATACTCCACTACATCGCACAATCACCAAAGCAGATAGAAGATACACGCCACTAAACCTTCACGAAGAACATGCACAACTAGAACGTTCACACACAATTACACAAAAAAAGGAAGAATGGTCACGAAAAACATTACACGGCAAACATTATAACATCGTGCAGAACCCGTACATAGATCAAGAGTTGACCTACAAATGGCTCACAATGGGACAAATTTATCCTGAAACCGAAGGCTTCATTCTGGCCATCCAAGATAACGTCATTGCAACCCGGAACTACAGAAAATTTATAATAAAAGAAGCGATCGAGTCGGACACATGCAGAAAGTGCCATCAAACCACCGAAAATATTGACCATATAACTGGAAGTTGTAAATTACTAGCCGGCACAGACTATACTGAAAGACATAATGCAGCCGCTAAGATCATACATCAAGAACTTGCCCATAAACATAACCTCATCCAGACAAAACGCGTACCGTATTACACCTATCTCCCGGACAATGTACTAGAAAATGAAACTCATAGGCTGTATTGGGATAGAACAATATACACTGATAAAACTGTGACCAGCAACCGCCCCGACATCACACTCATAGATAAGGTTGCCAAACAAACATACATCATAGACATTGCCGTACCAAATGATGTAAACGTCATTAAAAAGGAGCAAGAAAAGGTAACAAAATACACGCCTTTAGCTATAGAATTAAAAGAAGTTTGGAGACAAGAGGTTGTGAACATAATACCACTTGTGATATCGGTAACAGGAATCACCAGCAAAAACTTCACGCGTCACCTCAAGACACTCGACCTTAACACTTACACTCACACAAATATGCAGAAAGCAATTATTCTGAAAACATCTTCCATAGTTAGAAAATTTTTACATCAAATACAATAGAAGATCGCACGACTTGGAAACAACCCGTCGTGTAATCATAGATCCGCAACAGCGAGAATAACTTAAAAAATAATAATAATAATAATAACATAAAACTCATTCTTCACAGAAACACACCACGTTATCACAACCCACTCGTATTCAATCCAAACGCAAAGCCAAAGAAACACTTACACAATAAACTCCATTTAATAAAATTACAGGAATTATTATAATGATTTTTTTTTGTTTTGTTTTCCTCTTTCCTGATAGCGTTGGCTATTGTGCCCATCAATAGGTATGTTGGTAAGTATGAATTACATACTATCCCTAGATTTAAATGTACGTGTGTGATTTTTTTTTTTTTTAGGACCCTACATAACCTCACCAGACACAGACACAGACACTAATCGTTACTTGATTTTAATCCGTGCGATTAGTTAACCAGGCTAGACCTGAGTTCTCACAAGAAACACCGACAATAATAATAATAATCTTCACAGAAACACACCACATTATCACAACCAACTCGGATTCAACCGAAACGCGAAAACCTTAACAGAACTACATGCTCACAACATACTGTAATATCTCCACCAAAAACCCAAGCAACCACACAAATACAACCTCAAGAACAAAGAAACACCACAAATACAAGTAACGCAACTTGCACTACAAAGACAGGTCTACCCAATAAAGTTACACGTCCTAGCACACTTAAAAAACACATAACTCCTTCTTCACAGAAACACACCACATTGTCACAACCCACTCGTATACAACCGAAGCGCAAAAACCTTAACAGCACCACAGGCTCACAACATACTGCAATATCTCCACCAAAAACCCAAACAACCTCACAAATACGACCTCAGGAACAAAGAAACACCATAAATACAATTAAAAAACACAAAACTCCCTTTTCACATAAACACACCACGTTATCACAACCCACTCGTATTCAACCCAAACGCAAAGCCAAAGAAACACTTACACAATAAACTCTATTTAATAAAATTACAAGAATTATTATAATGATATTTTTGTTTTGTTTTCTTCTTTCCTGATAGCGTTGACTATTGGGGCCATTAATAGCTATGTTGGTAAGTATGAATTAAATACTATCTCTAGATTTCCAATGTGAGTGTGTGAATATTTATTTTATTTTTTATTTTTCTTTAGAACCCTACATAACTTCACCAGACACAGACACAGACACAGACACTAATCGTTACTTGATTTTAATCCGTGCGATTAGTTAACCAGGCTAGACCTGAGTTCTCACAAGAAACACCGACAATAATAATAATAATAATGGTCATTTATTGAAGGATAACACTGTACATACTAATGCTGCGATTAAAAAGTGGAACAGATTTGGATGAATACCCTAAATTACGCGCGTGAAAGGTTCAACCAAAGGATAGGTACAAGCCAAAGAAATGTTCTGCATTTACAGAAAGCGACCTAAGAGGATTTTTTATTTCACCCAGATGACAGTTTCAAAAGTCATACTTGAAGTATCGTTACTTAGCAACTTTAAAGCAAGTGTGTTTTAAAGGCCTTTTTTCGCACGCATTTGAGTATTTAAAACGGAGATTGTGATTCAGGTACAATAAAAAAGTATTTCGCACACATGATAAAGTTGAACTTAAAAGCAAATTTAATTAACAATCGGATTAGTTGTAGGAAAAATATTGTATACAAAGCTAGCGCGAAGTTATTTCGCGCATTTAACTTCGCGCATTTGAGTGATATTTTGCTCGGCCTCGCCTCGTCAAAATACCTTCAGCCTCAATGCGCGAAATTGAACTTCGCGCTCTTGTTATATAAATAACTATTTTCTACAACTGTCAAAAAAACCTCTCATTTTCTGACGGATTTCGACACGCGAAGTACTAGATTTTTAAACGGTTAATTAATAAGTAAGGTTGCTCTTGACAACGTGCGCAAAATCGTCAACAGTGAAAAAAAGTATTTCGCGCACGTGACAAAGTTGAACTTGAACAGCAAATTTAATTAACAATCGGTTCAGTTGTAGAAAAAATATTGTATATAACGCTAGCGCGAAGTTATTTCGCGCATTTGACTGATATTTTAACTCGGCTTCGCCTTGCTCAAAATACCTTCAGTCTCAATGCGCGGAATTGAACTTCGCGCTCTTGTTATATAAATAACTATTTTATTATAGGTACCTGAATCACAATCTCCGTTTTAAACACTCAAATGCGTGCGAAAAAAAGGCCTTTAAAACACACGTGCTTTAAAGTTGACGATGATTTTTATAAGCAAACGTCAAGTGACATTGCCATGGCAATCGTGATATTACGAACATCCAGCCCACTTAATTAGATATGTATTCGAGTATAACATCAATATATATTTCCTATTATTAATTTATACTGCAGGTATAATAAAAAATACTATAAGATATACGTGTATAATTGGTCTTTAAAGCACTTGCAACGTTAAAGACTTGATTATACACTTGTATCTTAATATACTATTTATTAACTCCCTCACTCTCCGTGGCATCGATTCTAGCAGGCGGTCCATTTCCTCTCAAACGAGACCTACTCCCATAAGTTATATATAATACCCCATACCATAGTCTCCACAGCAGCTTGGTGCATATGCCTCATAAGTCGTAACAGAAAATTCAACTGAACAAAATCTCGCAAAACATACACGATATAAGATTACTAGAAAAAAGTGAAAGAACTGTCAAATAAACCATTACCACTTGATCCATATGGATGAAATTTTAAAGTCGAAGGATCAACTTGAGAATTCAAGACACAGGAATGGAAACTCATTCGAAGAAAATGGAGAAAAACAACAGTGGAAACACCGAGACAAGTCCAGATTGAAGATGCCGAGGAAGTTGAAGGACTATGCAGTCAATAGAATCTCAGAATGTTACACCATGATAGCTCATGAAGCTGAACCGTCTACGTACACCGAAACCATTGAAAGTTCTCAAGCCAAAAATTGGAAAGATTGAGGAAGTAAATGCACTCAATGGAAATCACATTTGGGACCTAAGTAGTTCCTAGGCCGGCTGATAAGAAGGTGATTGACTGTCGGTGGGTGTACAAGGTCAAGTACAATTACCGAGACCAGGGGCTATCTGCAACGTGAAGGGATTGATTTCACTGAAACCTTCAGCTCTACCGTGGGATAGGACTTAGTGTGTCCTTTGCTAGGTCCTCTGGTGAGTGCGTGTGCTCGTGAAGGACTCAAAATGAGTCAATTTAACATCAAAAGTGATTTCCTTTATGGACTACGCGAAGCTCCTAGATGCTGGAATAAGACGTTTAGGAATCTTTGAGTCAATATAACGTTATTCAAAGTGAAAATGATCCCTGTCTCTTTGCGAACTTCAGGACAACGTTGGCGATGACACTTCACGTGGATGATGGCCTGGTAGTTAGCAGGGATGAAATGGATTAGCAAAAAATTATTGCTGTGCCTCAATGAAACCTTTCAGGTACAAGTCAGTGACAAACTGTGGTTTGGCATTACGAGATGTAACGTTCGAAAGAGGGTCAAAGTTAATAACTGCTTGACGTGCTGGGGCATACACCAAAAAAGGGAGATGCCTTAACTGTGAAGAAGATGGGAACTTCAAGGACAAATGCCCGAATGAAAAGAGATGCCTAAATTGTAACATGGGAGGGCATGCATCTTGGACGATGACCTGTCCCGAGTATAGGGGGGGGGGGGGGGGGGGGGGGGAGGGCGCGGAAAGGGTCCGAAAACCCTTTAGGTTTGTGAACCACGACGACTCCAGTTCATAACCCCTGATAGAAATCTGTGTACCATCGAAAGTCGGCTGTGACGACAAACTTTATAGCACTTTTTATACCTATGGTCTGTGTGTCCGTTATGTTTATGTTTTGTTTTTACACCAAATTTTAACATGTTTTACATTGCGTCAGTTTCTTATAGCTTTAAGTGTTGATTTTACGCAAAATTTTAATCTGTTTTATGTATATTGTGCTGCGTACACTTTTAAACTCTCCTGCAATATTTATATTTATACATCAATTTCGTTATTGTTATTGCTATATCTTAATATATCTGCACCTGTCTTTCTAATTTCTAAATTGCCGTGGACCTTCACAAATTAATTTTTCTAATGTTGAGAAAATCCAAAATTCATTTGATGTCGAAAGCACAATCCGGTAGATAGTAACGAAGTAAATCGTAAATCAAAAGTAAAAAGTAAGAAAAAAATGATAAAAATGATTATTCAAAGTAAAAGTGAATGCGTAATTATTGTTACATACCGAAAAATGGCCTTAACACTTGTAAAATAAATCCGCAAATATCGTCAGCGAAGCTTGAAAGTAGAATAACGAGAGAAATCTTCACTCAATTTTATACAGCGCCAGTACGTCCCAAAAATGTTCGACCAAATTTTCAAGTAAGCAATGCAAATAATAGTCGAGAATGCGTTTTGTACAAGGTGTGCGCTCGTCGGAAGAAATTAAAGGAAGTTCTGCGCGACCTCGAACGATAACAGAATGAACGATTCAAAGAAATCTATCACAAGAGAATAAAGAACTATTAAACTAAATCTAACTAGTGAATTACAAAGAAGTTATCTAGATAGCGTAAGGATTTAAATAAAGCGTATCATTCAAATGAAAGAACCGAGCAAGTATTACCAAACGAAACCAGATCGATAATTAATATAAACGCATCATGTTCAGGGGCCATTCTCGATTCTAACTAGAAACTGGGGTTATATAATCATAAAGTGTTTTCTTTTACTATATACCTTTGCAAAATGCTGCACTTGCAGGAGCTCCGAAAAGAACTATTTGTTTTAAAGTGCATGGTTCGTGGTAAAGAACCAAGGACATAAAAACACACGTACAAAATCGACGCCAATGAACTATGATTTGTGTATTGGGGAAAAACCATGATCGCCAACGCCTTAGGTAAAAAAACACTAAAATTTTAAGCGCCAAATTCAAACTGTCTGCAGTCATTTTGAATCACCCAGTATACAAAGTGTGTCTAATGTGCAATGTGTGAACAAATGAAGCACAATCGATTTATTAATCTTGAAGTCCAGGAGACACTATGAAGTTGGCATCCCCAAACGTTTTTCTTACATCTCAAATCAAAGCGTAGGCACCTACCTAAAGGTGAAAACAGTCTAAAATAGCTCGAATCATTTACAGGCTCCTTTGGAAAATATCCACATCTTAAGTTTGTATTTTGCAATGCGGGCTGTCGTCCAATCATCATTAATTATTTCAAAAATTAAATCAACATTATTCAAACGAGTTTTTTAATTTTTGCGTCGTCGATTTGCTTATTGCGGAATGTTTACGGCAATTTACAATTTTAATTGCGTAATTACGGCGAGGATAACGTAAATGTCAGTCAAACGCGCGAGAATAAACAAAATTGCGCGCCGATACGATAGACAAAAATATGTGATAAAAGTAAAAGAAACGTTATCGTTTATTCAACCGTATCATTTTTACCTTCAAAGTGTCCTTATATTATGTAAATTTGTTCACAATTAAGTTAAGGTATTAATGATAATTATCATTAAGATACCGTTTAACGAGTGAGGTAACTTAGATAGGCGAGAAATGCGGTTTGAGTACGTATTCGTGGTGATATTTGTGAGCGGTGTGTTAAATTCGAAAGTGAGCGGTGAACCATCGGGTTACTTGAAATACGTTCTGGATATTCTGGGTGATGTGGTTCAGAATGAGACAAATGGAATTGGTATTAAATGTAGACGTCATCTGGATTACTATCAAACAGGATTGGAGACAAATCGATTTTGGGCCCTTCAAAGTAAGTGCGATCACTGGTTACACGCGTGGGAACAATTCAAATTTTAGTGTTCGACGCCACAAGCAAGCTACCATCGGGAATTGGAACAGGAAATACAGCCGACTTGGGTTCGTTTGAGGAGTGCATCGAAGTAAATCAACGGATAGATTCCTCAAATTCTCTTCGAGGACGTTACTGTTTTGGGGAGACGAGTATGAATTTAAAAGAGGTGGGCTTAGAAAGAATACTAACACACGTTGCTCTTTACTCTTTCAAGTCAATAACGGCGTCTTGTAATTGTTTTGCAAGGAAAACATAGCAGAGGCATATGAGTACAGATTTAAGTGCAAATGTACACATATCTATATGGGAATTTGAAAGAATTGCCAAGTCTATCTGGTAATTTACAGGTCTATCTAAAAATTTGTGTGAACTTGCTTCAATATTGAGATTAACTGTGGTACGCTCATCCTGACCTAGAGGTATTTGGCAGTACAGGTTTCTGGCAAATATCTGTTTTACAGAGGTAGTTGGTGAAAACCCTATTAGTAGAACAAATGATAAGCCGTTTTGGGACGTATTTTCTTGAATGGACACGTTCTGGAGAAATAGCCGAAAGCATTAAGCGTTAGAACACGCGAGCATCGTGTTGCGCGATCAGAAAAGTTATTTAAATCAACCGCCCGCAGAAGCATTCGCGCATAAGATTAACAGTGAGACCTCTGGTGGCAGCACGTTGTAATTACTATTGGTGGGATAAGACCGCCATTATTTACAATGGCATATTCACATTGAAGGATGATACGTGCACTCTGCGCGATTGTCGGCAAATTGTAAAGTTGTACGAGTGCGCTAAAAATTTAATGGTGAATTGCGATTTTTATTTATAATTAGAAAATGAAGTTAATTGCGTCTTCAAGTCTAAAGGGCTTTTATGTAGGATAGGATGGATACCTACTGTATTACTCACGAGCATTTCGCTCGAAAAACGCTCCAGGCGAAAAAAGCACTTTTCGGAGCGGCCGCTTGGTGCTCGATACTCGAGCGTCTACTTAAAGTGCTCGGAGCTCGAGCGTTTTTTTCTTCCCGTGACCGTGAGCGGTTTTTCCGCTCGCAAGCTCTTTTTTCGCTCGCGAGCTCTTTTCCGCTCGCGATTGGTTTTTTCGTTCCCGAGCGGTTCCTTCCACTCCCGAACGCGTTTTCCGCTCTCGCGCACTTTTCCCGAGCGCTCGCAATAAATTTTAGGAGTGCTCGGAACTCGCAAGCGGTCTCGCTTTGCAAAACAACTCGATGCTCGCGAGCATTTTTGAGAAAATGTCGAGCGGTTTTTTAAAACGCTCGACCCAGCTCTGGTCTGAATCACGAATAGCCGAGGTAGTAGTATTTTACGTCATAATTAAGCCGCGGGATGATTAGCTTCAAGTGGTGAATCAGTTAAGGCAGAAAGGGAAATCATTGCAAAACGGTAAGAGAAGAAGGTCTAATCTAAATCAACCATCCGTGAAGTTTGCGTAAAGGTTAGTGGTTAGTGAAGACGTATAAACAAGTATAAATTGTGCACAACTCTTGTGCAGATAAAGCGCATTTTTTTAAACCGAAATAGGTTTTGTTTTGACATCACCAATGGATATATTCCTTGCAGACGTCTCAATCGCCCTTCCGACAATCCGTTCTTGAGGTATAAGGGAATACATCCAATCACGATAAGACGTCGTGGAGAAGGGCTATGGTTGGTAGAAATTAATTCCTTTCGTTGAAACCTTTCATTAGAGTACCATGAAGGATAAAACTAGTTCCTCTCCCCCCCCCCCACCCCCCACCTCTCCCCTCCACCCCGTATTTTGATAAGAGAACAGAAAGAAGGACAGTAGTTGGTAAAAAACGGTTCCTTTCGTTGAGACCTTTAATTAGAATACAATGAGAGAATTAATTTTTAAACCTCTCCCCCCCCCCCTCAGGCCCAGTCGTTCACTGATCTCGAAAAAGCGTCGCACGGGAAAGTTATAGTTTGTACAAAACAATGTATTTCAATGAGATCTTTCATTAGAATACCATGAAGGGTAGAAGATGTGTTTACCCTCCCCCCCTCCCAATTTTCTAAAGTTTAACTTGGCACCACTAAAGGCATGCGTATGCAAAATCTGAGACCAATTGGTTGCCGTATGTAAAAGCTATGCACGTTTTACTTTCAAAAACAGCATCTCAGGAAATAGTTTGTGAGGGGGCCCCCCTTTTAGAGAGCGAAATTTGATGGCTGTGTGGCACACCTACAGGGTATATGCTACCTACTGAAAAAAATTCCAGGACTCTAGGACCATTCCCCTAGAAGTAGTTCAAAATGGTAGAAGTGGGTCCGAACAGACGGACCGATGGACGGACAAAACGTAAACAATAGCACATTTTTTTTAATTCTTAAAAAATGCGCTAAAAATTCAATTAGGACGAGAAACAGGATATTTGTGGATCGCCAAAGAACTTTCGCAAAATAGTTAGTACTGGGGGATTTTCGCATTGGAAAACACGAGACTAGTAACTTACACGTCCTGCGCGAACTCGAACTGTGCGTGTAGATGTAAAAAAAAAATAAGTAAATCAAGTCTGGACGTTTCTTTGTAAATCAGCCTCAAATTTCGTAATTTACTCGCAGTTAATTAATCTTCATGGTCAAGTACGTTTTCCATTGGATTGCGTAACTTGTGCTATCTTTTCAAAATTTTGCTTTTTGATTTCTCCTAATTGGACGACCGTAATTTTTGGAAATACGCTCATAGAGCAACCCGTAATCGAGTTAAATGCCCATAAATGTCGAAGTCTTTAAAGCTGTAAAATCAAGTAATCGGAATTTGTTTTGTATTTGTATGTCAATCAATTACCGTGCCTTTAAGGGTACAATGAAACTTTTGTTAATTTCGTATTGTCAAAAATATTTATACGGTTTCGGCAGCCACAAGTAGTCAGTCAGAGAAACGGCAAGTTCCAAGGATCAGACGGGTACATCAGCAGAAAACAAACCAAATGTAACGTCTAAATTGACACGATGACGCCAAAAGAAGACCTTAATCTCCAAACGGCGGAAAAGGAACGCCGAATTCATAAACCTTCAAAAACTAAAACTAGTTTATCTAATTACTCGGTCCCCTATTATAAAAAAATCTGAGACCAATCTTTAATATTTCGCTAAATTAGCGCGCTTCCAATGATACTAATCACAACCACCGGTCAACTAGTTTCCTACGAATGAAACCCCTACAAATCTCAACTTACAGCTCCTATCAAATCCACTGGCATACCCAGTCGACAATTCACACAACACAAATAGTGTGACTGTCATTTTTCTTGTTAGGCGAAGATTAGATTCTTAAAATCCCTAACAAAATCTTTCTCGATGGGGCCGAAACATACATCCCAAGAGAATATGACCAATGATAGCCCGAACTCCTTCAAATCTCTGGCATAAATAACTTTTAATCTAGCCTATGTGTGTTTAATGTATAACGTGAGCGCCAACTTCATTATTTATGAACTTCAAAATCGATGTTAAGACCGAGACTAAACTTAATTCAATTTGCTTATACAGCAAGCAAACAAATTTAAGAAAAATTTGAAGGCATATCGTATTTCATTCCTTATCGCCGGCCACTACTTCTTTATCACCTTGAGAATTTTCGAAACATTATTAAAATTTAATCTTAATTGCTGTTACGTCTGTGAACTTACGCAGTAAATTGGAATAACTCATTTTCTCTTATTGACTGTTTTTGGAAATTCCTTCTACAGGAGTGTACCGGATTGGTCGCATCGTAACCGGTTAATAACATGGGAAAAGTTATCAGCGCCAGTCTGACGGGCGGTAACACAATCCTAATGTCTTTTACGTCACCAAAACAACTGAATCAGAATTACTGTTAGTGATGTCATGAAGCGGCATGAGAAGCGCGAACTAAGCGATCGTAAAATTATGTGGGTTTTGACAGATGAACTTACGCACTTGATTGGGGTAAGGAAACGAAGACGTTGGTTAATGATTAAAGATGCCCAATTTGACTTATTAACACTATTTTGAAGGCGCGTTAGAAATTTAAAAGAATAGTAGGGTCGCGCCCAATAAGTTATATTGAGAAAGTGGAAAGTTGGTAAAAAGCTTAAGCAGTATTCCTGCCGAAGATCCAGGTTTCATTCTATATTGTCCATTTTTAAGGCAGCATCCCTTCGAGAAGGGAAGTATTGATTTGTACCGTAGCGTAGGACAAGCATCGATTCCAGACAACGCGTCGGTCAAAAAGTGCTCTAAAAGCTCCATTAAACGAAGTTAAGGATTGAGTGTATCAAAATTTTTAATTCTCTACATAACCAAAAGTGTGAAAAAACCAAAGGGTAAAAAGAACGGAGTCGGGCGCCTAGATCGCTCTCAGATTATTATTCACATTTGAAAGAAGTACAAACTTTAGTAAAAATGTATCCTGATTTGTCAACTTAAATCATTTAGCATCAAAAGAGCTCTACCAGAAGCCGGTTCAACAATTATTCACAATAAGTAATGTATACAGTATCAGAACACAAATAAAAGTTCAGTACTTACTCAGGTAGTAAGTGAATGAGAAAACTAATTCTAGAGAGCTGAGTGCTAAACAACAAAGGCGCTAGAGGGTTAGGGCTACCCACGCCCTTCCTCGTCAAAGGTTGTTGAATAATTGAGAAAAGTTTCCATTGTTCTGAGAACAGGTGCATATTAAACTAAAATTGTGAGACTTGACTAAAATTGGTACAAAAATTAAAGGTTAGTTCATTAATGAAATTGTACCGAATAGAGGACGGTGGACATTTGGGAGGGGGAGGGAGTTGGCACTTACGTAAGAAGAAGGTTTACCGACGGCATTTTGTTTTAAAAGTCACATTTTTTGTAAGCTGTGTGTAAATGAGCGGACTGTATCTATTAAGTAAATCTTACCTTTAGTTTCGGCGAATCGTCTTAAACTTGTTTGAAATTGTGAATGGGGTGGCGAAGGAAAGGACACAAGGAAAACTCACCCCAATCACCTAAAAGAACTAAACGTTTTAACTGCTCTGCTTGCTTTTACTTAACTCTCTATACGAATAATTGAAATCAAAAAATTATTTATCATTCTGTGCACGCATTAGTTATGCGCAGGTAACTAAAATTGTATTTGAAATCATTGAAACGAAAGTAACAAAAAACGCGGCAAGTTTAAATTGCTCATTCATTAACAA